CTTCTCGGTATTTCAGGTTGAGGCCATCAAATTCGTCGTGGCGCACATTCACCATTTCGGTGGCGACCCGAAACGATTGACTCTGTTCGGTCAATCCGCCGGTGCTGCCTCAGTCTCAGCGCACACCTACTCACCTCTAAGTCAACGTACGCTATCCACATCCTTTAAAATTCCTGATCCATCCGATTCTAGGCAAAAACTAGGCCCTATTCCGCTAGTTTCTTACTAAAAAACTATCGAAATAGCCACTCGGCAACTAAGCAAACACCCAATCCGCCAGCCAATCACGAAACCAACGCTAATCCCCTTTAATACAAAAATATCCCATACAATTCCCTGTCTATCTGAGCACTTTCCAAGCTCACAGTCCTAATCTCTCCTCACCAAACACTCTCAGATCTCTCTAATCTCAAATCCCCATCCAAATCTCACCAATTCATTCCCTAACCCTAACCCTAATTCCAGATCTCTTTCAAAACGCTATCCTCGAATCCGGTACCATCATGACATGCTTGAATGGTGTATTCGGTAAGAGTAAAAACAGTCAGCACATAGCTAAAATTGTCTGCAATATCACTGACTGGCCTCCGAGCGGTGAACGCCTAACGTAAGTTATCTATCGAATTCCGATCAAATCAAATCAGATCACTTCAATGATTAAAATATCATTAATATTATCGATAAATCATTAAATATCTAATATCATTACTATATCATATTATCGACGTTATACTAAATTATCAATACGCTCCAATATTTAATTAATTATCATTAAATTAAATTTCAGACAACTCTATGACTGCATGATGAGAGCTAACTATGAGGAGTTTCTGCCGTTTGAAAAGGTTTCTTCGTTTGGGTTAATTATCGTTAAATTAATTATCATTAATTAATTAAATTGAATGTCTACCCATTTACCTATAACGATTGGAATAATTTTAACCACGAAACTGACCGTGAGACCTGATCTGAGCCCAAAAAACCTTTTTACAGACCGATTTGCTGGGCTGGAAGATGAGTGTCGATGGGTATTTTCTGCCGGGTACACCAGAACAATTGCACTCGAAACGACCGAATATTCCCATCATTTTGGGAACGTGCAAGGACGAATGGTCATTCTGGGGTAAGTTCTATACACTTTCTCTTCGGTCAAGTCAAATTTCGGGCAAAAAATCTACCTATTCAGCTTTAATTCGAAGAAGGAAACTGCCTCTGATAGGATTAAATGAAGCTGAATTAGCGGAATTGATACACACCTCAAATAGGATCACTATAACCAGCCAGCCTCAAGCCACTGGATCAATCAGCAGATCAACAGGTCAATTAACTGATCAAGAATCAGGTCATATCAAGAAAACCGCTGATCATCGCGCTGCAATCAATCAATACCGATCAAATTTCAGATCTCTCATCGATGGCCGCAGGTCTGACCACTGTAGATCACTACAGCAAACACTCTCTAGAACAATTTTTTGACGTTTACGGGTCATATTTCGGTCCAGTAAAGGAATTCGTTTTGGACTTTCTATTGGCCATCTATCAACCACACGATATCACGGATAATGACCACATTGCATGGCTTCAAACCAAGAGTAATGTCAGTTT